AGGCCAAGGCCGGGCAGGGCAGGACAGTGCAAGATAGGGCAGTGTAGGACAGGACAGGACAGGACAGCACAGGACAGTGCTTTGCTTTGTGCTATGTGTGGGTCTTTACGAGTTGGACCTGAAGAGATAACATCCAACAGGAGCTGAGGACATTTTTCCTGTGAGCTGGGACGCAGCATTAGAATCTACCGTGTTGCAGGCTCCCAGGCACCGCACCCTGTGTGTTGGGGTGGGACTGCACTACACACTGTTTTCAATGGTGGGCTTTTCAGAACATGACTGGGCCTTTCACCCAGCTGCCCCTGGGTGGAAACCAGGCTGTCAGGTCTCCCACCCTCTTCTCCAGAATGAGCACGTATGCGGGCTCGGGGGCACACAAGCATGCCGGGGTAAGCAGGGGCCTTACTTGGGATCCACCAGCGGCATGACTGACTGCAGGCGCGTGAAGGCGTACGGCCAGGCGTAGCTGAGGGCCATGGGGCAGTGCTTGGGTAGGTTCTCCTGCCGCAGGAAGCTGAAGAGACAGAGCACCCAGGGGTCCTTGACCGACTGCGCGAAGATCCAGACGTGGGACGGGCTCTTCACATCGTAATGGCTGTTGACCAGGACGGCCGACCACTCCACCAGCCACTGCAGGTCCACGCTGTGGGTCAGCGGGAGCGTGGCCTGTGGACACAAGGATGGGCAGTGAGTGCCAACCCCCTGCTTGGCTGACAGGCTCCCTCCACACTGTGACAGTGACCTGAAAGCCCAAGAGCCGCCTGCTCTGTGATGACCTGTGGTCCTGGAAGGGGCACTGCCGAGGCTTCCTCCATACTGTGGCCCTGACCGTGACCTGAGTGCCTGAGAGCTGCCCGCTCTGCAATCACTGGGTAAGAATCTGTGGTGTCGGCAGGCACATTGCCGAGGATCCCTCCACACTGTGGCCATGGCCCTGACCGTGATCTGAGTGCCTGAGAGCTGCCCGCTCTGCGATGACCACGATGCCAGCAGGTGCATAGCTAAAGCTCCCTCCACACTGTGACTGTGACCTGAGCACCTGAGAGCCGCCCGCTCTGTGATGACCTGTGGTCCTGGCCGGCTCACTGCCGAGGCCCCCTCCACACTGTGGCCATGACTGTGACCGTGACCTGAGAGCCGCCTGCTCTGCGATGACCTGTGGTCCTGGCAGGGGCACTGCCGAGGTGCTGCAAGTTCGGCACACATCACAGCCACAGGGCCACACACAATTCTGGTTCCCAGAGCATAGAAAAGTGCGTGGACCCTAGGCTGCCGTCTGAGGCATGTGACAGCATGAGAAAGCGACCCAAACAGAACAGAGACAGGAAGGGAGCACAGGCTGCTGGAGGAACGTCACTCACGGGCTTGCCCATCACAGGGCTGCCATTCAGCTCAACCTGTCAGGTGACCAGTCACGTGATCAACCTGTCACATGCTCAACCTGTCAAGGGTGTAGTGTCTGAGGCATCAGCTTTCAGGTAAGCAGTCAAATGCCTTAACCATAGTGCCACCCGAGCTCCTTCTGTTGGGCTAACGGTATAAAATCATTGACCAGAGCAGTTACCCCCCATCATGGGGAACACCCAGAGCAGAAAGGTGCACAGAGTGCTGAGGAGGGGCCCTGGGGGCACAGGGGATGAGTCTTTGGCTGCTACCAGAAAGGTCTGCAGTTCTAACCCACCCAGCAGCTCTGAGGGAGAAAGTCTGCTCCTCTTTTTCCCATCAGGATTGCAACCTGGGAAGCCCAGTGGGACGCCCAGTGGGGCGGGTCCACCCTGCCATGTTGGGTCCCTGACTTGGATCCATCAGCTGCATCTAACAACATGAGATCAACGTTGAGAGTGGTTTCTGGGGCAGGCGCAGGGGAAGAATGAGCTGTAGCTGAAGTGGACGAGGCTGTCTTGAGGGTGACCGAGAAACCTGGAGAAGGACATTGGTGATGGCTGAATAACATGACCATAACCAACGCCACCTAACTGTACTTGTGAAACAACGCTGAAATGGCAAATGCTTTGTTACATACGTATTTGCCACAACTAAAACCGTGGCAAGCACGTTCTTAGCCTCTTGTCTGCTTTGGTCTGTGTGTCTTCTCCAGGGTGGTTTTCATGACGGTCTCTATTTCCTCACACAACACGCCCACACAACTGACTCACGCACATATAACACACGGGAGACTGGTGCTCTGGGGGGCGTGTGGCTTGAAACAACTGTGTAAAGGCTCACATTATCTGCGTAGGGTGTACCCGCTGTGCCTGGGTCAGCAGCTTCATTCTATAAACATGGAACAAAATGACGCAAACATCACACTACCATCTGCGGGTACAGTCAGTGGGGCCTGTTCCCCGTCAGCCCGACGTGAGCGTGTAACACGAAGGCCTCCTCCCTGGGACTGCGAGGGCCGCAGCGCCTGGCTGGGCGTGTGACTGACTGCTCTGTCGCTGTCACTACAGCAAGGACAGAACTCCTCAGGACGGGAAGGCAGGGTCACCCAGTGAGAAGAGACTGCGGCCTGTGAGCTTCTTCTGGGCGTCGGGGCGGGAAGCGGGATCATCCAGTGGGAGCCCATCTTCCGGCTCGTGCTCTGCCCAGATGCGCCTCCTTGGTGCACTTGTCTTACTGCATTTTGCAGACACAGTGGTTTTACAAACATGCCCATATTTTACTTTAAAATATTAAAAGAAGCAGTTCTACAAAATGGAAAAAAAAAACAAAACAAAAACAAAAACAAAAAACAAAGTGAAGGTTGTGGCAACCTTGCAGGGAGTATGTGTCCCCAGGCCGCTGTGTCCCAGCAGCAAGGGCTCATGCTGCATCTCTGCCACATTTTCGCCGTTCCCACCCTTCTCCCTCAGGCTGTGGCACACCCCGTGGACTCGTCCTGCACCAGCACAGCTCTTCCGCGTCCTGGGACCTCAACGTCTGCCTGGCAGCCTCATGACGGCAGGTGGGGCACTGCCCCCTGTCTCCGCCGAGCACCTGTGTCTCTCGGACACCTCTCTTGGGTGGGGGTGGCAGCATGGGCCTGGCGAGACATCCCTGCCAGGTTCGGCTTCTCTCAGGTTCTTTAGCGGAAATGGAGCCAGGGGCCAGGGCTGTACTTTCATCTTAAAAAGAAAGCCAGGTGAAGTCAGCTTCCATTTCTCCTCTTCTTCTTCGGGAAATGGAGAGCCGTTAGACAGTTCTCACAGGAGGAAGACAGAGTGCTCCCGTCACAGGAATGTCAGCCCTGTCACTGGGGTCTTGCCACTTAATTAAAAACATTTTAAAAACGTCAGGGATGCATCATCCCAACAAGTTACATGTGGATGACTCGGTGCCATGGCAACGCTCTCCAGGTGCCGCTGTCCACACCATCTTCCCAGGACTCCCCTGCCACTGCGTCTCACACTCACTGTCCCTGCCGTCCGCACCATCTTCCCAGGACTTCAGTCTCACCTCCACTGCCCCTGCCTTCCACACCATCTTCCCAGGACTCTCCTGACACCATGTCTCACCTCCA